AAAAAAAACTATTTTCTTATGTGATACCACACCTATTTCATAACAAGCAACTATTCTCTATTGAAAACCATTCATTTTTACCCATTAAAACTAATAGTATAAGATAATTTTATTAAAAGTCCAAAATTAGTAAGGTCCTGATCTATGATACAAACTGTGCATCTGAACTGATAGCAACAGAACAGTGTGCTAAACTGCACTGTATTGCAAAAGGCAAGTAATGAAGTTATATATTTACTTTTTAATTCTAATGTCTTTATTTGACAGTGTATATTAGACTGGAAAGTGATTGTAAAGAGATCAGAAAGGACCTGGAACTGAATTCAGAACACCGAGATGCTGCTCTCCTTTGCATTTAGTCATTTCTTTTGTAATGTAATGTGTATTTATATAGCGCATTTATTTTGTATGGCCATACACACAAAGCCCTTGACAATTTTAAGGGGGGGGGGGTCTCTTCGCACCACCACCATTGTGCAGCATCCACTTGGATGTTTGGCAGAGTTCATTCATTCATTTTCCTTCAGTTTAGTCCCTTTATTCATCAGGGGTTGCCACAGTGGAATGAACTGCCAACTAATCCAGCCTATGTTTTACGCAGCAGATGCCCTTCCAGCTGCAACCCAGTACTGGGAAACATTCATGCACACTCATTCACACACATACACTTCAAACAATTTAGTTTATCCAAATCACCTATAGCACATGTCTTTGGACTGTGGGGGAAACCAGAGCCACGCCAACACAGGGAGAACATGCAAACTCCACACAGAAATGCCAACTGACCCAGCAGGGACTCGAAACAGCTGTGAGAGGAAAGTGCTAACCACTGAGCCACTGTGTCACCCTGTTTCTGATCCAAAATAACTTACACACGAGGACAACAGAAGTAATTAAAGCAACTACAGTATATAATATTAGTACAGTTGCGTTTGCATCAGCACTATGTTGGGTATTGACTCCAATGATATTTGGTCATTTGTCATGCCTCATGCATTACTATATAATTTTTGAGATTGCAATTATGCTACAGGAGCTGTAAATTGTGTTGTACATCATTCTGACATAAGTTGATTCTTGTATATTAGCACTAACTGTTCTTAAATAACTGGCCTGTAAATAATGCAATAGTTAATTAATGAAAAAATAATGATCGTTAAGCACATTATTAATGTACTTATAATTCCAGAATACAGCATTTGTAGCAGTATTTATAAACTGCTTACTAACGTCCATTAATGTAGAGTTAATGCTTAACATACAATGGATTAACTGATTCCTAATGCTTAATAGATGATTCATAGTGTGTAGTTATGAGGTGTTACCTGATTGTTTTACTCTCCCAGTCTTCTCACCAGTCATATGACTGAAAACTATGTACAGTATATGTGAACGTAGGCAACTAAGCAGTGTACCTCATCAAGATTTCCAAAGAGATTTAGGCAAAGGGAGGCAGGTTGCCCATTCCTTTTTCATTAGTGCCGTTCACAGAGGCCGCATAGACTTATTTTAAATGTCAAAGAGCCTTGAGGCACCACAATTCATTATGGATTAAATTGAATGTGTAGAGGGAGCCAATTAAACATCTTAATCAGCTGAAAGATGCAAGTGTCAACTTCTGCTCATAGTGGAGCAGCACATAAAGCAGAGGTCTGACTTTAATTTAATATATTTTATTTTTAATTTATATTTGGAAAAAATAATAATTTCACATAATTACTAACAATTTTGTCTTTAACTGTATATATTATGCAAAGTCTATTTAGGCAACAGACACAGACTGTATAGCCTTTTCTTTAACACCAGCCTGCATTTATAAAAAGTCCTTTTCAGCAGTTGTTAAAGATGATTGCCATGGTGACAGGAATGGAAATGAGTGTTTTTACAGCTGTTATTTCTGCTGCTCTTAATGTGCCTTCATACCAGCCTAATGACATGAGAAAGCACAACAAGGGGTCCAGCTTTTCTAGCCTTAAGTCTAATTTGTTAAAAAAAAAAAACTGCATGACATTTAAAAAAAAAAAAAAAAACAGATAAACACAGACTGGCCCAATTGGAGAGAATAATAGGCATCCCTGTAAATGAGAAAAAAAGATAAGGATTAGCAAAGCACCTGTGATGCCTGTCATTATGCTGTTTGTTTTGGTTACGCTCTAAATACAGGCCGTTCTCCTGAGCGGATAAGCTGAACTGACAGATCAACTAACGATCATCATGAGAGTGGAAGGCAATGGCTAGTTTTAAAGTAGCATTATTAAATCCTAATGTGAGCCAGGTTTTCTGTATGCCACTTGTTACAACCCCCTGGCTCAAAGTAACAAAACCAAATAAAGATCCAAAGCAGAAAATCAAATCAATTTAAATATATTTAATCAGAAATTAAATGAAATGATACATCACAGCAAGAAAGTTGCTGGTTGGAGCCTCGGCTGGGCCAGTTGGCATTTTTGTATGGAGTTTGCATGTTTACCCTGTGTTCGCATTTGTTTTCTCCGGGTGCTCCAGTTTCCCCTAGAGTCCAAACACATGCGCTAAAGGTGAATTAGGCAAGCTAATTTGTCCATAGTGTATGTGTGTGAATGAGAGTGTAGGGGTGTTTCCCAGTGCTGGATTGCAGCTGGAATGGCTTGCGCTGGATAAAACATATGCTGGATAAGTTGGCGGTTCATTCTGCAGTGGCGACCCCTGATAAATAAAGGGACTGAGCCAAAAAGAAAATGAATGAATGATTCATAAATATAAAGAAAACAAAACAAAACAAAACTCCAAAGCTGAAGAGGAAAGGCCCAGAGTCCAGTGGTCTTTACTCAAACACACATCATGTGCAATCTGCACCTGGTCTAAACGCAATTTTGGCAAAACACTCCAGAAAAACACCAAATCACGAAACACCTTCATCTAGTGGATATTAGACAGGATCGCTAGTGCCATGACACACTGAATAAACCATTTTACTGCATTCATTACCAAATATAAAAGAATTTAAACCATCCACAGACATTTGCTATATTTCGATATCAGAAAGCAATACTGAATGTGTCCAAATGTCTAAACAGTGTTTTCAACCATATAAGACACAACCTCAGCAGCAGCAAAGCTCACACAGGCCAGTGGCTATCGACTGGTCACTCTGAAGAGAGACGCTGTCCATTAGACAGATTTCTGGACAAAAGCATTTATTGGCAGCCCATCAAGAAGTGCACGCTGAACTGCACAGAGGAAGCACCGAAGCCAGAAACATCAACATAAATCTTTAAAAAATTGTTAAAATAAGAATAATATTTATTTGAAATTCAGAGTGTGGTTTTTCTTATAGACATGATGTACACATAGATGCCACAATCAGCTGCTCCAGACATGTTGATGTGGCTGCCATCTTGTAGCTGCTATTTTGTTTATGTTTTTATTCACAATAAGTCAGTAGTATTATATTAACTATTATGATGTTACATAAGCTAATGCCCTTGTCTTATATTGTGCTGCCTCAGCAAATGCTTAACTGATGTAAATATTCATAGGCTATGCATATAACAGACGTACGGCCAGCTTTTTTATATTTTGAGGGGCAAGGCAGGGTGTTTTGTACTTGTATTTGTCCTTGTTTATTTATTTAAAAGCTGTTTTGTCACTAAAATGTGCTGTATAATCTACAATGAAAACAATTTCTTCTCATGAATACAAAAATATATAAGGATTGATGTACTGACTGAGCTTGCTTTCAAATGTCCACAAACTGGCTTTGACTGATCCAACATGGCAGATCACTCACAAATACCAGTACATCGCAACAGCTGTCAATTAGACATGGGACGATAACCGTTTTTAAGGCATACCGTGTTTTGGAAAAGTCAAGGTTTTAAAACCACCATTTTTTGCTATACTTTTTCTATTGTATGTGTGAGATTTTTTTATTTACATTTTTTCAGGATGACAGTATCTCCAGCAGAAAGGATATCCAAAGATGCCATTTTAAATTGTAAAGAAATCAGTGTTTTTGAAACTAATGAAAACAGCAGAAGTCAATAATTCAATAGAATTATTTTACCTGACATGTTTACTGCTCCAAAATACTATAAATGTTTCTCAAAATAAAATGTAATGTGTTCAAAGAGGGGAAAGGTTGTTGTTTTTTACCCAGACATTTAAAATAAAGGGATATTTTAGAGCAGTGATCACAATACCGTCAAACCGTGGTATTTTATCCAAGGTTATCATACGGTCAGAATCTTATAGCGGCCCATGCCTACTGCCAATGAGGCATCTAGGTATAAAAATCTATGGTTATCCCAATGCATCAGCAATCTTTAAAACAAATAGCACTATGAATTCATTAAAATGTGGAAAACCCCCTCAATCAACATCAATCTTCTCTAATCAGATGAGTTAAGATGGTATGTAATGCCAACCACACATACACCTGACATGGCTGGTTGACATTTAAAAATAAAGTGAGCGCTGCATGGCCTTGTTTACACATGTTCTCGTTTTGCATCCCTAAAGAACCGCAATATTAAAAATCCATTTTCTAATTAATTCTAATAAATTTTAACCTTTGTGTTTAATGCCTTGGATATTATGTCAAGGATAATAAATTAACCATCCATTAAAATACATTTTCTCATTCCACAGTGAACTGTTTTGGTGATATTCAGTTTTATTTTTAATTCTGCACATATAGCATGAACTGTTGAATCTGTAAGTGTTGCCTGATGACATCACAGATGATGAAGGAGATTGAGGAGACAGTTGTCTTGGTTACTTAACGGAAGTGCAGTTATTAAACAGCCAATTGCCTACATAAAACTAAACCTCTATTAAACGTCCAACTACACAAAATACTTTAAAATGTGAAAAAGCCAACCTGTTTGCACGAAATGGGTTCAACGACCCACTGAAATATTCCCATGTGTTAAGTACAAAAGTGCACTGCAGCGTTAAAAACGACTAACTACGCATTATGAGGGTAATGAGAGAATGATTATGTAAATAGAGGCTCTTACTTCATCTCCTTGGCCGAACTGTAAACCGAGGTCCACGAAGTGCTCAACCCGAATATATCCGTCGGCATCCTCGTCGCACACATCGAACACTTCTTTGAGTTTCTTCAGGAACGCCAGCAGCTGTTCTTGGTCGGGGAAGACATTGCCGTCCATCGTTGAGAAGCTGCGCTGATGAATGCTCTGTGTTAGAGAGATGGTGATGCTGTGAGCGCGCTCGCCATCATCTCAGCTCGCGCGCAGCTCAGCCTCACTCACTCTGACATCAGCAGCATCACTTCAGATCAGATGGAAGAAACCATTGGCGGCGCGGCGGGGGCGCGCGTACCTGCGCAGCGGCGTTTGACGTCACTTATGATGCTATTTAGCTCGCTCGCATTGGATCATGATCAAGCAATGGACATAAATGTCAACAAATCTCAAACGGTTGGATTAAATCAAGTAAGTGACATCATCTTGGGCCGTTCCCCAAATCAAAGTCGTTTCAAAACAGTTACAGTAGATTATCAACAATTACTCATGTTGTCAGAGCCATGAGGTTCTGTTTGTGTCAAAATGATTAGACTGCCCTGTGTTATGAATTTGTCCTTGTCCACAGATATTCAAATTTAACCAGTAAGCGGGGTAAGCGGTCGCTTACGGCCCCAGAAGATCTGACTGAGAGCCCAAATAAATATCTAGCAGTATAAATTATACCTATAAACTATATATAACATCAATTTCTATCATATTTTGTATGCTGAGAGTTAAACATACAACTTTAAAGTAACTAATATTTGTTTTTTTATGTTATTTTTTAAAGTATAGAATCAAATGTAATATTATTATAATAATGTAATGTTTTTTAATAATAATAATAATATTATAAAATACAATATCCATCAAAGAGCAGTCCAGCAGTCAAATTTATAAACACACTGTAAATATTTATGATGTTTAGTTAATTAAATTAATTTTAAGAAAACGTAAAATGTAGATTTAAACTATATAGAGGAATCAGAGAGTGAAATTCGATAGCTTTTAAGACCTTTTTAAGACACTTTCCACACATTTCAAGACCTTATAACCACTTTTGGTTTCATCTGGGAACACTGGCAAGATTTTAACTTCCTGTATATTTACTAATTATTAATGTATGAAACTAATCCAAAACTTAAAACATTATTCATATACTGAATAAAAATCTATTAAATCTAGCTAATTAAAAAACAGCAATATAAATAAAAATAAAAGTAGAAAGAGTGCATATCAGGACCTGGGCTGTATAGGGCTCCTAAAGCCCTAAATCCATCCCTGCTGGTAGGCATGTTAATATGTATCCCTATATTTTCTGTATATTGCATATCAGCTTATTTCCTAGTTTTTGTAAGGCGGTTTAAAAATATTTGAGCGTAATGTCTACATAAATAGAAAGTATGCAAGTATGTGCATAGATTTTTAAGAAAAAAAAAGCTTATTGGCCAGCAAAATTATTACACTTATTTTAAAATGAGGGGAGGAGAGATGACGGAATACTGTTGAAGGGCACTGGGGCCAAAATGCCTGGAACTAATGTAATAATGTGTAAATAATGTGTTAACGCATAATATTAAATGAATTCCAGACACTTGGCCTTAATGGCTGTCCACAGAAGACTGCACTGAAGCCTAGAGTAAGGAAGACAAAACACAAACATTAAATAATTCTTTGGCACAAGTGGAACCTCATATTTCATTAGTTCAGAATATTCGTTGCTGTACAGAACTCTGCTTTCTGGTGGATCAAACATGACACTTCATTTAGAGTAAGTAGGGGTGGTTCTGCCAATACTCACTTAAGAAAAAGGCTTAAATTGGTGAGTTACAAAACATTTTAAGACAATAATTTTAAGACTTACCTAAACATTACAATATTTAATACCCTGGGAGGGAGGGAGACAGACAAACAAAAGCATCCACAGATCACAATGCTTGCACCACCTATGGATTGAATTCAGTGTTTGGGGTTCATTTAACAAACTGTGTCACCAGACACTGAATTCAATCCAGTACATGATATCGGGGTTGCTTCTCTTTCGACAGGATTGGACCTATTATCACATTCCAGAGATTATCAATCAATTCAATCATCAGAATACTTAAAGATGTCTTGTTGCCCTATGACGAAGAGGAAATACATCAAGACAACTACCACTAACACAAACAAGCAGCAGTGAGCGGCATCTTGGTTCCAGGACAACAACAACATTAATGTTATGGAGTGACCAGCCCAGTCCCCACACCTCAACCCAATAGAAATCTTGTGGGCTGACATCAAAAATGCTGTTTCTAAGACAAAAGAAAGAAATTCAGAGTTTGTCACATGTAATACCTGTTCAAGGGTACCAGAAGTTGGCCAACTTCATGCTATAGATGTGAAGCAGTTCTCAGTATCCATGGTTATGAATAACATTAGTTCAGTAATTCACAAGAGAGCTAGATCTTCCAGCATTTTTTCAGTTTATATGGCCAACACAGACACTGCAATTTTTAAACTAATTCATTATTTTTTTTTCTAATATATGAATTTATTATTTTTATTTATTTTAAATATTTGTTTTTCTTCAAGTTCTGCAAACTATTAACTCTGTTTTTTTTCTTCACGTTTTGATTTAGAATGGAATGTTCAGTGTCCCAGATGCATTTGCATGTATTGAAAAAAAAAAGTTATGAGGATTTTGAGCTTTACTCACTTTTTTCAACACACTGCTATTACTCTGAAAACAATTGTATATAAAAACCTTTGCGTGAACTCCTCAAGAATGATCACCTGGTAACAGGAGATGTAAAACCATTACTTTTATAAATTGGGAATCTTTTACAATCATTGTCTACAGAGCTTGACGTTAAGACCTATCAAACCGTCAAATGCGGGTAGATTTCGGCTGTGATGATTTAGACAAACACTCCCAACAGCCACTTTATGAGGTTAAAAAATAATTTTTATACTCTTGTTTTACTTATAAGCAGGGTTCAACAAAAAAATGGCCCATTAGTCTGGGAAATGGCAAAAATAACTTCGCGTGAGCAAAAAAAAAGCAGGTGAATATCAAATGGGAAGATGATCGTGGGCACTTTGAGACACAGGTGATCCTCACTCACTGACGAGGGATTTGGGCAAAATGCCAATTCTATTTTTGTACCTCTATCCCTTCCCCTTGGCCCTTGAAACAGAGTGCTTCAAAATTTACCCCTAAAAATTGGGACAGCACTACAGCACCTGCACACATCATCATATATCATCGTGAGCTCTTGCGTCATATGAGATCAGACGATTGCGACTTCTGTAGTTATTCCAGTAGTGTTATTTTTTGGTGTTTATCTTGAGGTAATCACTGAAGGCATATTATGTTATCATGACGATATACTGTGGCAATAAGATTGTCTCTGTACTGTGCATTACAGTGGCCATATTCATCTATGTAAACAGAAAATCAACATTAACATTATAGTAGACACTGAAAAAAGCTCATTCCCAGCCACTACACTCTTCTGACAGGGTATTCGAGTGTCATCGAGTGACAATGTTGTTGGACTGCTTTACAGGAGTTATTATTATTATTATGGATTATAGATAGCCAAATTTAGTGTTTGTTTTAGCGTTTTTTTTAACCATGAGAATAAAACACGAACGCAGTAATGAATATATTTAAATGTGTGCTTCTTTGTTGTAAAAATTCATAATAATGACAAAAAAATACTAATTTGTGCATCTCTTTACTTCCGTGTGTAGTCATGCTGCTGTTGTAGATTGTGTATTCTGGGAGATTTTCTTACCCCTTGGTTTCAAGTGTGGTCCTGAAAAATGTCAGTTTGAAGGGCTATCTAGCCCTTACCCTTAGCCCTACGCCTTCAAGCTAAAGAGAATTGGGACACCCCTACCCCTTTACATGAACGCACAAAACAAGGGGTAAGGGGTAGGGCTAAGGGGTATAAATGGGATTGGGCCTTAATGTCACGCGCACAGCTTGCGTGGTCACAACACACAAAAAAGTTGTTTAATGAATGAGGTGGCATGTGGACATAACACAAAACCGATATGAAGTAATTTTAGCATGCCAAAGTCTAATTAATGCATATAAAATACATCTTCCCAACAATAAAAAAAGTTGCTAAGTGAAAATAGAAAGTGGCTAGTAACGTTGAAAAACTACTAGCCACAGTGGCTGGTGATCAAAAACCTTTTGAGGCCTATGTTTTTAACTTATTATATACCAGTGAAATTTTTTCCCCAAATAAAATAATCATGTTTACCTACAATGCTATACAAAAAAGTCCACAATTAAAAAAATTTCAGTAAGGACGGTTATGGTACAACATCTCAGATAATGAACAGTTTATAAAAGTTCTGCAATCTAATTACTAGTTTTGCAAAGATATGAATGCTTTTTACAAACTGTGCTGTGATAACAGTAAATAACAAGATCTAAAATCAGGCCAAAATGAAGTCAACTTTAGAAGTTTAACACTGCTTTCTGAAGCAAACTAAGGAAAACTTCACTGTGGCTCTGTAGCTCTGTCTTCGACTTGAACATCCTCCTCAGAAGTTCAAATAATGACTAAATTGCTGCCATTGTGTATAGAATACTGGAGTACTTGCTCAACGCAGATCATTTGATTTGTTGTAAGGTTAGGATATTGTGGTGACATCAAATCTTCATTATTCATGAAAAGAATAAAAAACTTTAATTGAAATACTAGTAGACATGTCAAACAACGTAAACAATCTGAACATGTACTTATTCGATAAATTACTTCTAACATTTAACAAATAAATTGACGCAAAAAGCAACAGAAGCTTTTCACAAAGTGTAAAATGTAGTAAACTATTTGTTACTAAAAATAAAATCTCAGCAGCTCAATAAACATTCGGCATTCACTGATTAAACAGTCAATGAGTCATTTAAAAACAAAAAACAAAAAAAAAACCCACAAATTTATTTAACTGACATTGAGAATAAAATAAAACATTAATACCATTTTACATCGTTTCGACAGCATTAAAATAAAAAGGTTATCTGTACAGGTCTGGCTCAGGCTGCCTGGTTTTGTCGGACCGTCATTTGGCATTCTCCACAATGAGTCGCGGCTCCAGAAGAGAATCCCAGCGCTCAGTCAGCTGCAGTAAAGACATCAAAGACAGACAGGCTTGTTTTAGCCTACCACAGCATACACACACACTTGTACAAAGAACTGGCCTTATTCACTTCAACAATTAAAAGGGATAATCAGAA